GTATCGTTTGTTCATATTAAAGAATCATTTTTAGACTGTAGAGACAGAGAAGGCATTAAATAATGTGACAATTTTCATTAGTTATATCCATCTTCATAATCCTGCCATGTAAATTTGTGTTTCCTAGATGCTTTCATCTGAACAGCCCTTTAAACCTCAGAAGTCAAGCTGTGAACACGCAGCCACAGCCACACCTCTGCCTGGGGTCTACCCCTGCTCCCAGGGATGGGGGCCAGTGCCTCCCGCCAGGGCACCAGCAGCAGCAGCAGCTTCCAGACAACAGTCAGAGCACACATGTGCTGGGAGCAGCACCAAGGACAGTCCCTGCACCACCAATGAAGCCTCCCAGAGACAGGAACTGCAGCCCCAAAGCGTTCGTAACCCCAGTCTCTCCTCGGTGGGCAGCGAGGCAGATACACCCCCTCCGAAGGGCCAGAGCAAACTGGGAAGTGACCCTGACAAAATAAACTCAAGAGGTTTCTGTTTGAAAAGGACATGTCACTTTCCCCCACAAATCTGATATTTAACATCCGTGAAGGTTAAGTTAAAAAAAAAAAAAAAGTTACTCTAATTAAACAAAAAAGCAACTAAAAAGTTCCTTCCTTTTGAGCCACACAGGGATCCAAGAAAGAGCTCCTCGGGGCTCATGGAGCATTTCCTCCGGGGACCTTGGCATCATGGACAACATGCACCTTCCCTCAGAGGACCCTGTCTGAACGACTCCTGTCTCCGCTGTGGCCCATGAGAGGGGCACACCATGTCCCCAAAACCTCCTCTCCACTTCAGTACTAACAGGGGCTAGGACCACACACACCATGTACCTGGGTGCCATAGCCCTCAGGAGCCCTGGACAGGTGGTGTGGACTTTACAGGCCAATCCACGAGCCACTCTCTTATCATGGTCACAGCTCAAAACTTCTGCTCACTAGATACAAATTTTAATCAGCATACACTCAATAAAAACTCAGAGAAAGGTGCTTCTAGCTCCAAGACAGCCCATGAGCCTTCCCATTAGAACTAGACACTTTTCTCCTGCTATACCTTCAGGTGAGAAATCTCTCCATCCACAAAAAGGAAAACACCTGATGCATACCAGAACATTTAAAGAAGATTCTGTTCTAACAAGGAAAATAAAATATCACAGCAAAAGGAACAATCAAAATGTAATGCAACAAAAGCTTATTTTTTAAATTCAGTAACGCTCCCCTGGCCTTGGTAAAACCAGAAAACCAAAGGTGTCAGCCCGTATGTCTTCCCACCCCCTCGAGTTCAATAAAAAAAGAGTCTTACCTGCTGTTACTTTATTTAGAGTCACTAAGGAACTGAGGACCTTGTTAAAATTCTGCCCCTGATACAAATCATTTGCATCAAACGTCTGAAAGGAAAAATTAAACAAGCAAAATTAGTAGAGTCTTACGTTGGGTGCAGGATGAACTATGTTCTCCCAGCAACGTGACGATGCTGAGCCTGAAATCCTAAGGAGACCACACAACCTGCGACAGGGAGACCAGCACGCTCAGTCTCAGTCCTGGGGTAAGAATTCAATCAGAATCCTCTTACTTAGGCGCAGGGTCCCCCCTCGGCATTAGGCCAATTCCCTACCCAGCACCCGCCCCTGCCCCTCTTTACACGCTGGAGTGTGAGCTCATTCACAGGGCCAGTGGGGGCCGGGGCGCGGCGGGAGAGGCAGCAGGCTGCTGGCATTCAGCAAGTAAGCAGAGGTGCTTGCTCAATCCTCCTCTCCTTAGATTAACACAGAGGCCCCAGGCAAGGCGTGCTACAGATGTTCTTTCCTAGACACAGAAGAGGGAAAATGACAGCCAATTCCAAAGCTAACAGCAGCGAAAGAAAATGCAGACATCAGAGAGCAGAGTGGAGATGAGGGAAAAGGAGGAAAGACAGAAGCAGCAGATCCCAGACAGGAAAGGGGTAGGGACAAGAGAACACCACCACCCTCAGAGCTCTGAGGCCAGCACCAGGCAAGCCCACAACCGCATCCCCTCCAATCCAGGGCTATCTGGAGCCCTGGGACCATGATGGAGCTGGTCACATTGCCACTGGCAGGCACTTCCCACCACTCATCTTGGAGCTTGGAAAGATAAAGTACGCTGGTTTGCCTAGGTAGACGGCAACTAGAGTCTAGAACGCGTGTGCACACACACAGCCGTGTCAAACAAACACAGCTCTCAGATACTGCTCAAAGACTACATATGGCTTCTGGTCACCAAATAACCTCAAGCAAAAATAAATTTAAGAGTCAAATCATCCATAACTGTATTCCAGAAAAATTAAGAAACAATTTCTTTCAGAGGTGCAAATAACAGAAAGATGTATTTAAATAGCAAAACGTGTATCCTGTTGCCCTATGTTCTGAGGTTACCGGAAATGAGCATCAGTGGACAAGGGCCCCACCTTCTCTCCAGGGCTATCTTCCCCTCCTGTCAGTCCTGCCCTCTCCCCATACCTCTAGCAGACCCTGCCAGAAGCCCCACTTCTCCTCTTCCTGCCTTCGGTCCCCTCCCTTTCCTGGCTAATCCTTATTCATCTTGCTTCCTGGCAGAGCCCTGCCTTGACAGCCCTGCTGCCCCCACCACGCCCGGTCAGGTCCCCAGCCAGGCTCCCCCAGAACATGTGTCATGATAATTTGATGGTGGATGTCTACAGGCCTTCCTAGACTAAAAAAGCTGCAGTGGCAGATTGTACATCTCCCAACACCCAGCAGAGGCTGGTGCACAGTGAGAAGGCATCCGAATGGAGACGTGCACCAGCATCCAAACAGCCACCCACCCTGCAGGCGCTGCATGCTGCTGTAATGAAGCTCACGTCAAGAGAAGCTAAGAAAAGTGACACCAAATGTGAAAAAGTCCTGCTGTATTATTCAAAATTCATCTTCAGCTAAAGGCCTTCTGTCTATAATTTTTCAAATAAGTAAAAATAGTCATGAGATGTTTAAACATAAGAAAAACCAGACTTGGAAAAACTACCTCAAGAGAAAAAGCCAGCAAATCACTAAGAGAGTCAAGAAAGGAGCTGAAAACCAGAGGTCACTTTCTTGAAGTTCACAAGGAAATATCGAAAGGAACCACAAAACGTAAAAGGAAAGCTGTGAACACATTTAAGCATTCTATGTGCTTACAGATGCCATTTCTAATAAAGCACAAAATATAACTGATTTCATGAAGCTAAATCCTTCCTTTAAAAAACAGTCCTTAGAACAGTCTTTAGAATCATCTTTAGTACAGAATACATTTGTTGTGATATTACTTAGGTAGAAATCCCAACTCCAATGAGAGCAGCATTAGGCTGACGTAACCATCTATAACAAATACAGGTTAAGCTGCATTTTTAAAAAGGAATTACATTTTAGGCCTCAGCTTCCTTATATGCAAAACATAAAATTTCTCTTCATCATAAAATGTTTAAATAGGAGATCTGAATGTCTTTCAGCTCCACAGATGTAATCTTAGAGCTCGGAAAATTCAAGTCATGGTATACTGCAAAAAGAAATACATACATAAATTTCTACTAACCTTCATAGTGGCAAGGCAGCAAGTCACAAAACCCAGAATAACAGGATGTGAAAAACGTGAAGTTTCCTGTTATTCCAGAACTATATATCTTTCTTACTTGGATACCAGGAAGCATCTGATTGGCTGAAATTGCCCACCAATGGGCTTCAATATGACATCAGCGCTTAAGTGAATACACACACCACACTTCTCAACAGGAAGCTAGACAATGAGATGAGGCAAATCCTTACCCCTGAGAGGGGGAAAATGCACATTCTCAGCCAATAGAATGTTTCGATTGAAGTGCTTCTCTGGAGAAAGATAACAGACTATTTCCTGAAATAGAAATCTATTCAACAAAAAACAGAAACAGAAAAATCTGAGTACAGAGAAATTTTGTACTATGGGAATAACAGGGAAGTCTCAGAACTTTTGTAGAAATAGCTCTGCAAAAAGTAAATCAGTGTGTATGTAAGAATTACCATGACATTTAACATACTAAACTGTTCCCCTAGGGTTATTAAGGCAAGTGTCTTAGACAGGATTCATTCATTCCCCACCACGACTTGCTGGGTGCTTTAGCAGTATTTCCGCTCTTGGCAAGGCAAGGAGCAGCAGGATGGAAGGAAGTACAAACCATATTCCATTGTCTCCAGGCCTCCTTTTGGAAGCCTCAGCCGCAGGAGCTGCAATTCTCAGCAGGAGCTGCATGCTAAGGCCTCCTGGGGGGCTGTGAGAGGGCAGGATACTCCAGCAGTGTTCTGGAGAGACTCAAAATCAAAATGCCAACCCTCTTCAAGTGACTCCAACACACAGCCCAGGGTGAGAGGCGTTCGCGGTGAGGTAAGGAGGGTCATTAGGAATCCCGCCCAGCAGCAGGCTCGACGCCGGCACAGGCACCATGCTGGGGAAGAGGGTGGCTGCACAGACACACACTTCGCCCCAAAATACGCGTTAGGATCTATCCATTTCGAAAAACCTATTTCAAACACGCACACTTACTTTTACATTTAAGTGAATTAAATGTGCAGTAGAATGACCCCATATTCCCAAAATGAAATCATCCTACCAGTTTTCCACCAGAAAATTAACATTAAAATTACTTAGTTTATTTTTGACATTTTACTCTCAACAGAAATTACATAATGAAATACAATACCAAATCAGGGATAAAAGAAGCCCAGAGTATTCAAACAAGGATAGAAAAATACCTTCTTAAAAGGGGAGTGCGGAGGGGAGTTCCCACGGTCTAACACTAAATGGCACAACACAAGGCAGCACGTTGTGGGAAGGAGGCAGCAGCACTGGAAGAAGGAAGAGGGCTGGGTCTATGGAGCAGAGCCTCCCTGACCACCTGCTTGCTACAGCCCTGCACTGGGCCCCTCAGGCCTCAGACTGCTCATCTTCACCAGGGAAAGGGGAACACGCTTGAGGACAGGAAGCAGCAACTGGAATGCCCCACGCCTTCAAAAAGAAAAGGGCACACCAAATCTCGCTTATCAAAACAGACCTATAGATAACTCCATTCTGCCAAGGAAAACTCTCACTTTTAAAAAATTCAAAATAACCACAAGAAAAAGCCCACCAAACAGAGAGAAGAATCATCTACATGACTTACAGGTCAATCCTCTCATTTAGAGATAAAAATGAAGCCCCCAAGTACAACGACTTCCTCAACTCTATTCTCGCAGAGTATGCTTGTTGGACCTCATTTCTCTTGCAATGCTTTGCAGAAATCGCTTCTTAGGAAGCTGAATTGTAGCTGGCACTGTTTAGGAAAATTATCTTGCCTTCTATGAAATACACAGGCCATATATAAAGCAATTTGGACATAAAATAGAACGGCTACAAGGTACTAAACTATACAGACCATAGAAGAAAATAGTGAGACACAGAGAAACTATCTGAGGAGGATTTCTGCAATCGTAGGTCGGAGAACCTCAGCCACAGGGACAAGCGGGATGAGGGGGATTTCGACAGACACTGGGGAGACACTGGAAGGGGCCGACAAGCCTGGGGATCAAGTTGTACGTCCAGAAGACAACGGCATGGAGGAGGACCAAGGGCATAGTTTTTTAATTGAACGCCGAACATCATTAATATTTAAGACTGAGGGAAATCCCCCCGAACCAAAGAAGAAAAAAATGTCTTCAATGTCTCATCCCCATTGTCTTTTCTGTGCCTTCACTGAACAAGCAGTTCCTGGGCAGCTATAAAAGCCAGACATTAAGTCTGTGCACAATTCTGGGCCACGGAAAACAAGACTGTTCTGGATTAAGAGACTCCACATGCCATGAGGGGCCCTGCACTGGACCGTTTCGGATAAACCATCGACAAAGTGTACTTGGGAGCACCTGGGGAAACGTAAACACAGACTACGTATCAGATGGTGTTGAGACATCATTACTAACCTTGTCATGTATGACAGACATTACAATTTTGGCCATGTGGGAACATGGAGTTATTTTTGGAAAGGTCATTTTGAAAGATTTAGGGGCAGAACTTCATGATTAATATCACCCAGGTTAAAATATGTCAGCATATTCAAAAACACAAAATAAGTTTTTTGAAAAAGTTGGACTTTCAGGCTAGAAAGCAGACGTAGGAGGCTGTGGTCTTCCAGCTCAGTGGGAATGCAGAGAGCGAATGGGGCCGCAGGGCAGAGGCAGTGCAGGGTGAGGAGCAGTCAAGTCTGGAAAGGGACACAGGATGTGGCCAGGTGAGGGGGGGGTGTTCCAGGCAAGGGAGGAAGCAACAGAAGCTGCTAAGGCTTTTCTTCCAGCTACTGACATTTCTCAGACAAAAAGATGGCTCCAACACCATGGCAGCCCCCTCTGCAGACAGGGATCAGGCACGGATGAGCCAA